ACAGATGATGACGATAGTGATGATGAATTATTCGGGATGATTGGCAAGCAGGTCGCGTTGCCGCATGTTAATGCTTGTTATCCGTGATCCGTCGGACAACGGCATTCCACTAGCAACACTGCAAATTTCGGAGCCCGTTGTACCCGTTCGTTGGCATTCTGAGGGCGGGAGTGTGCATGGCCCCGCCCATGCGGCGGCATTCCCTTTGAGGTTCCCGGCCAGGACTGGTTTCTTCGGGATGTAGTTCCTGCGTTTGCAGGTGTCCGGAGCGGCGGTGCTGTAACGCTGGTTTGCCCCGCCCAGGGCATTCTCTTGTCCCGCCCCCGGGTGTCCTGACGCAGGGCGCTTTGTGCCCTTCTATCCAGTGTGTTGCTGGTGCAGCGGTGCTTTGTCAGGCGCTGTTGCGTAGTTCGTGCCTGGCGAGTCGTAATACCGTTCTTTGGCGCACATGGCATTCTGCTGGTTGTTTTCAGGGTATTAATTCTCTGTGTCTCTCATTCGCGTCCCCTGCTAATCCGAACGTTTCCGGCACTTAACCTGAGCGTAAGCCGATAATCGAACGGCAGCTGCTTCACGATGGTTTCCACGCATTCGCAGTATCTGACTGATTACAACACGCCGGTGGTGGCTGCTGTGAGTTTCTGGCCTTTTACCAACGTTCTATCATTTTCGTTACGAAAGTTGAATTTTTTTGAAATGGCTCTGAAGTGATTTATGTGTGTCCACGTGTATATCCGTGTTCGTATGTGGGTTCGTGTGGGTGTGTGCATCGAGCGCTGTTGCAGAGGCACGGATACAGCGCCGAGGCAAGGACAGTGAATTTATTATCTGGGCTTCCTGAATTTTTCTTGATAACATTTGCCATCCGTCATTCGCTGTTCATCCATTCCGTGCACTTTGTTCCCGGCTCTTGTTTACTGCAGTCCTTCCGCTTTTATGCAAACCGGTGAAGTGTAGATGCATCATGCGCAGACAGTCGACAATCCCAATGCGCTTGTCCGCTTATAGTATCAGAAGCGTATCACAAGCTGAAACACTCAGAGTCATATAGGAGGAGATGGCTGCGCGCTGCTGATAACTGGCGAAAGAGAAGACCGAGGGCGAAGGGGCAGCAGCTGCAGTGGTCGAGAATGAATTACGTTTTTCCTAGCATTCGAGCACTGAGAAATTACCTATTTATCAGTAGCAGTATCGAATGGCGAGATGAATGGACGGATAAATGCACGGATAGACGAATGATGGACGACGAGCGGACGGACGGATGGATGAATGAATGGATGGCTGTCATCTGCGATTAAACTAATCTTCACCATGATCTAAATTCGTTTCTATTTGTCGCCACACATCTGTGTGTTGTGTATGTACTGTGTATGTGGATGCGTGTTATGTGTGTGTATGGGTATGTATGTGTCGTTTGTTTGCCTATCATTCCGTTTGCACGACAAATAAACGTACAGACATGACATGCGAGTTTTGAACTGAACAACTTTAGGTGAAGCGCTCTGCTTACATGTGTTACGTCCTGCTCTTTGAGGGCTATGCTTCAGCTGTTTTTTAAAGGTGCATGCAGAAATAGCAATAGGGGCGTAGGTGTTAGACGTTACCGTTAGTACCGAAGCATCTGTAGGGCAGTGTGTAATAGGTCCAGAAAAGCACCGGAACCGCCCGACAGCATGTCAGAATACAGACTAACCGTCGAAATTAGCTAACAAATATTTAGACAACGACATCCTGCTTTTGGAGGATTTTACAAGAACGTTACATTTCTCGAATCACCCTCACTACGGTGCGCTGGCGTTGCTCGAGTACTGAAAATCGGAAGGGTTGGCATTGTAGTAACTTGTCTTGATCAGAAACTTCCGCTTGGTCATCTTCATGCATTCGACCTTACGTGTCACTGAATTTGCGCTGGATGAGGGACACCTTGAATATT